AACAATTTACCACTTCCATCTAGTTCTCGAACAATGCATCTTCTTACGTGGTCTTTATCAACGGTATTTCCACGTCGGTGCAATCCATAAAGCTTAAGCTTATTCAGCAAAGTACTTCTGGAGATGCGAATTCCATGATATTTTTGTAATAGCTGTAAGATTGTATCATACGTGTAGTTTTTAGTAAAATAGTTGCGAATGATATCTTCCTAAGTCATTAAAGTAGTGTTTAGCAGCGGAAAGAAATGTCAAGTAATAGACTCCTGGCTTTTCCTTTTTAATTTTGAACCTACGTTTGTTAGTATTCGAATTTTTGTGCGCGTATGCTGTTATTTGTAAGTGTGCTTGTACTTGTGGGCCACTGGAATCAAGTCCACATATAAATTTTGTTAAGAAGCCTACATGTCAACTAATGAAACCAGCCAAAACAAAAATAGGAAAAATCAGCAAACAAATCCACCACAGAATCGACAACAAAGTCACAAAAAAACACTATAGTTCTATTGACCAATGGAAAAACACATCATCAATAATTAAATGGCTCCAAGCTTGAAATTTCTGAGGGGCTGGGGGTGGGGGGGGGGGTGGGGGTTACAGCCCAGTCTTATGTCTCGTAAACCAAATTACAAGAATTTGTCAGCTTTATTTTTTGCTTGCAATTTTCATGTTGTTTTTTCTGGTTGAATACAATGGACAGCAAATGGTGGAAAACTTCATTTAAAAACTTTTTTGTCTAAATCTAACGTCACTTATCTCGAAACAAGTTTGGATCAATCAAGCAACATTATATTTGTCATAAAAAAAATTTGCCACTCGCTGCAATTACTATGGGACTAATACATCGAAAGATTAATGTAACTCAACAAGCAAAATTACTAAAATATTGCAAAACATTGCCAAATCATGCTCTAAAATAATTTAGAACATCAAAAACAATGTTTGTAGCGATTGTAAAGAAATTCAGGAAGTATAATTGCTCTTATGATAACAATTTTCACGCACTTTTCGCTCTGAATTAAATTTTAAAAAAAACGTTTGTAATTTCAAAGGATTGATCTGTTTTGTAATGGTAAATGAAAATATTTTATTAATCAGTATTTCTGAACTACAATTTCAACGATTCTAGGTATTTTCAAATCGAGTCTTCCGCCATTTTGTAGATTACCCAGTTGCTATGCAACGGAAACTGTATTAAAAGCACCAGTTGTTCAAAAGCAGGTTAACCCAAGGTTACACGTTTTTGCAACATATTTTTCTTTCAGGACGTGATTCTGGGATATTGACCAAGTTTTTTTTTAAGGTGGAATACGAATAGAAACCCTATTATTTACATAAATAAAGTGCAGAATATTTTTTAGAGTAATCCTCGTCGGCTAAGATCTTCAAATGTTTTTTTGTTCACGTTACCCATCGAATCTTCGAATTCTTCCTGTACTGAAAAATAATATCATCACTTTTCTCATTGCAATGAACAAGGCCAAATATATTACTAATATTTTCGACAGTCAAATCAACGGTCAACCATTTAGTCAAAAAACGTGAACTTGAAAAAATTTATGACAAGAACAATGTACATCGCAAAACGGATATAGGTAGATATATACGTAGATACACCATCATACCTCAACATCCGGTAGCCAACGTTCCTTAGCTCTCATATCTTTTAGTTTCTCTCAAACTACAAGTGAAGGTAAACGAATTTTAAAGCCATGCATGAATAAGAGCAACCAAGAGGTTTATAAGAGGAGAAATCCAACAAAAATGTAAAAAATCGACTTACGAGAAAGTGCATCGGATATTTGTGTGAAATTTGCGAAGTGAGCGGTGTTTGGAATACAAAGACAACGCATATTGTGTGCATGTCTCCATTCCTGTAGATGAGAAGCAATTCATAAACCTGACATATCAACTCAGGCATAAAGAAATGCGCTAAGAGCATTGCACATCATGATGTGGTGAGTGCTGCTGCCGAAATGCATCGTGATCTGAACTAAGGTTTTTCAATATTGAGTTATAGAGCGCGTGGGAAGTTAGGATGTACAGAACATACTAGATGGTTTCTAGAAGAGCTTGTTAGGACTAACTTGACAGTTGCTAACTGAAACTCATACATGAAAGGTTGACTGGAAATACTAAACAAGCATTCATGGTAAGATACATATGAAACTTTCTTAGTCATGCATTGCAGCAGAATTATCTTATGAAGCAAAACATGCAATTTAGTTTGGAACATAAAGACGACGATCTCACAAATTTTCTTAAATTGAAACTGCATAAAATCTCTTAATTACAGGTTGCTAGTCGTACCGCAAAATGTCTTTGAAAGGCTTTGGGTCCCCTGAAAATTAAAAATACGATTTGCATTTCTCTTTTCATAGTGAAGACCAAAAAAGATAATTGCACAAACCTGTACTTCATGTTGCCACAAATTTCACAGCTGTAAGAGATGTTGAGCCCGTGCAACTTGTATAACCAATACGGAATAGGCTAAAAGAAACAATAAAACCCGTTGTTCTATAATCTGTAGTTACAAATCTTCTGGCGATCTCCGCTGACCGTTTCCCCCATTCTTCCTTACTTTACCATCCCAGCCCAAAGGAAGATTCTTGGAGTTGTAAAGTACTGTTTCCTCGTCTTCAGAATCCGATTCATTGTATTCTTCGCCACCTTCTTCATCGTAAGGAACAATAAAAGAAACGCAAGCAATGCATTTGGTGATCATAACACATTGGTGAGTCATTTATACAAAATTTCTAAGTTCCGTTAGAACATAAAATAATGTACAAATGAATGTATCTCTGTTCGACAAATCGATGCAAAAAACCTCAAGTTCGTCAGTTGTTCTTGCTTGCTTTCTTACAACGTTTTCTCGAGTGGCAGGCCTCTGTTCCTACGGATGAAAGTGATATTACAACATTATAAATGAATACTCTGCAACGTAGGGAAAGTCAATTTAACATCAGTGTTTACAAGTTTTACAAAGTTTACAGTTTTAAAAATTTGTGCCGGACAAATTCATGTTTATTTTAACTATCATGTATCACAAGCGTTTATAAAATAAACACCAAAAAAAGCGTTCACTGATCGGTCTATAGCTGTGTTTGCATTAGCCTGTGCAGAACAGATCGGGGCTCAACCAATCAAATCAGTCAATCAAAGAGAATTTGCAAATCAATCATGAATGCATTTTAGAGGAAAAAATAAAACATTTGTTAATATATTTATTTCGCATTATTGTTATTTTATAAAAGAAATAAAAGATGTTTTTCGTGTTTGCACTGGCTTATGCAAACCTCGGAGACGTTTGTGAGAACTCTCGAGCAAGTGCAACCCTCGACCTTCGGTCTCGGGCTTGCACTGATCTGCTCTCGAGTTTTCCCGAAGGTCTCCTCGGTTTTCATAAGTCCGTGCAAACAAAGTAAACATCTTTTATTTCTTAATTGTTCCAAAGCTAATGATTAGAAATTGCTTTCTAAGAATATCTCGACAACCATCAATGCACAGAAGCATCATTCTTCTACACAAAGAACGTGACTTGCCTTCCTTTAGAACCTTTCGATTTTGCAAAAAATGATTGATCAAGATCCTCCATAGATTTACCTAGGTATTCGGAAAAATGAATTCAATTAATTCAAATTATTAGTAACCAACAAGTGACCGAGTTTAAAATACCTTTTGTAAAGAATAATCTCTGTGCTCGTTCCTCTAACGTGCTAAAAACGTGTGCGAAGGGAACAAACAAAATCAAATTGGATCAAGATTTTTTAATCAAAAAAATTTCACAAGATCTCATACCCTCCACATTTTAAATTTAAAGCTTGCAACGCCTGTTTAAGACTGTCAAGACCAAGCGAAGCCAACTCCTGTGGAACAAAGAAGATATTGTCGAGAAAATGCTTTAATAGGCAATGGTTCTGATTTGTTTTGTGTGTATATGTATGACTTGTTTGTTTATGTCAACCCTCACTGTTCGTATGGTTTTATCAAAATCATATATGTCGTTAACAATACCGTATTTAAACTTATGTCACGTGTGTCATAACTATTCTATGTTTACATAAATATCATGCATGTCCACACCAGTACAAAGTTTAATGTTATGTCATATATACGCTCAGTTATCGTTAAGTCATGATTAATCTTACTTAGGCTGTGTTCATCCTTATATCATGCGTACCCTTACTAGGAAATTACATTCATGATAAGTTTCATATGAAAACATTATATGCCAGGGTTAGAGTGGTCAGTGTTAACACGCATATGTGCTTCCTAGGTTGTGGTAGGGTTCTTTTCTGTGAGACCAATGCATGTTATGAGTGTGTTGTTTCCCCTAAAGTTTTACATTATCTTGGTGATTATTTGAACAAGTTTCCATTAAGGGAGAAATATTTATCTTGTTGACATAGTGATTATTGAGTCATGAATAAGTTGTTATGATTGTCAATAATGTTTGATTATGAATGCTAACTGAAGTATTTAAAGATTTATTTGATATATAATATTTTATGATATGCTTATTAATTTGAGAAATGAAAACATGATTAAGGTGTTTCACTATAAACATTACTCACAATAAGCTTAGTCAACTTATAGTCACTTTTATATATTTATACATAAACATTGTGTCCTCCTCATGATTACCATATACATAGATGGTAACCTTGCACTTTGGCAGAAAGTATATTATTGCATATTATAGGTGAGGATCACATTAAATACATTATAGTAGATTGCATCAAGCATAAAATCCTGAGTTAAGTTTTAAACTATTAAGATTTCATCTTATCTGTGCTACTTTATTTCATATTGCTCTGAGCACTATATTTGTATCTGCAAGTTGCACTTACTTCATCAGGTTGAGATTTGTCAACATCAACGGCAATAGTTTCATCAATATTCTGGGAAATCTAAAGAGTTTATAATATTACTTTGGCTTTCTGACAAGCATAAAGAATTTACTGTATTACTTTACAGAAACCTGAATAATTCAACTAAAAACTAACCAGGTGCAACGGTTGTTCAAGAGTGATGTTTGACTCAACACATTCTTCTAACAATGAATGATCATCATGCATTTCCTAAGAGAAAGTTTGCAATGCTCCATATATGATAAGTAACATATTTAATTTTTCATTTCACCTAAGGTTCACAACTTTAATGCAACACATCCCACACAGATATTCCAGACTTCATAATTTTGAGATACTTAGAGACTAACCACATTACATTCCACTTCGTAGTCTTCGTTTGATTTAGATTGACTGCTATGAGGGGCCATCTATTTTGTGATGAAACAATGTATTATAAGTTGTCAACTAAAACATATTTCAGACATATGTTTACTACCACTAAACAATTAACTTGCAATAGGAAGAAAATGTATCTGTTCAGCGCTGCTGGTGGGCTTACAACAATCAAGCTTAAATGCAACATATTTCCTTCTTACCTTTCTGTACAAGCTTTCATTGAACATGCCAAAATTTTATAAGCAACATAATTGCACTAATATGTACAGAGACCTTGCAGAGAGCAAAGTAGGAACTCCAAAATAGTTCACAAATTCCAAAGTCAATTCTTGCACATTAGTGAATATGTTAAAATATTTAAACCAAAGAGGGCTATCTATATGTACTTGAAACAATGTATACCACCACAATTATCATCCGTAGATAACTCCCCTACAAATGCAAGTGAATGAATGGCTTTAATAATTTCACAATCATAAGCATTATGTAATACGACAATCAGCTTGATTGTTTGTAGCCCACCAACAGCAAATTTTCATCATGAAAGTATATGGATGGAGAGTATTATCTCAAAGATCAGATAATGTGGTAGTTGAAATGAAACTTCATTTCTTAAGTTGAAGCTGAAATTGAGTTACTTGAAACAAATTAATTTTTATCCTACCGAATCAATAGGTGATCGTCGAGGGCCTCGAGTGTAGAAAAACGTCTTTGAACGCTTAAACTTTTTCCCAAAACGATACATTTTTTCATTAACCTTCGAAACTCCAATAGCCAATTTGTTGTTAGGAAGTTACTACTCCATGTGACTTTGATTTAACGGAAGATATCAATTTGCATTATCATATGAATTAAATATCTAGTAGCAAATCTACTACAAGTGTAAATATGCCAAGTTGCCAACTTGTGTTAACTGTGAGAGTTATTTTAAACATATTATTTCAAATAAAACATAAAGATTCCATTAATGATCACTCTATACGTGTTAAAACATAAAAAAGTTTGTAAAATGTAGATGGTTGTAAGTGTGGTTATGCATACATTTTCCAGTAGTAAAACATACCAC